ATGAATGATATCAGACGGGTGTAAAAATGGAAAATTGCTCAAAAAAATCCAAAGTTTAAAAATTGATTCTGAAGGCACTGGTGCATTAAATGGAACCAAATTTGGCTCACTGCAAAATATCGCACAAAGTTGCAATTTTCAATGTACTCAAATCATGTTCACGTTATCAACGAAGTTCAGACATATTCGTCGCACAAAAATATAATAACATTATTTTTGTAGATGTGGATAATCCTGTGGATGACGATGCAAGTTTGGAGCCAGCAAATGAAGAAGCGGAAGTGGAAATTGAAGATACCGAAGAGATTTCCGCTGCTGCTTCGGAGGAAAGTGCTTCAGAGTTAAACATCGAGCAGGACGCGTCCACATTAAGAGCAGTGAAAAAGTTCAATCGAGCAACTGAACGACTCGACACCATCATCAGTATCATTGACGAAATAGTGGACACAATTGAGATCACCGATGATGAAAACGCCGTTTAAAATTGATTGATTTGTATTTAGTTACATGTGTGCTGTTGTTAATAAAATATTGTTTTTCCTATCACATTGTCCATGTATATCGAACGGATCCATCGCCTTAATCAAGCATTTCGCCGAAAACAGAATAGAGCATTTAGAGCGGCTGATTGAATCAGCAGGCGAATGGGGGGATTCGGGTGCTGATTGGCTGCAGGATCCGGTAGCGGGATGAAAATTGCAGCATCAATCATTATCAAGCGCGCCACGAAACATCCAAAACAGTTCAAATCTGCTTCGGCTGAGAGCGCGACGTTTTTTTGCTTAATTTGCGCGCGTGCATTTGGATCGCTTTCATCCAGATTTCGCTTTCGAGCTTGATTGTGCAAGACCAGCTGCTAGTGCTGAGCTACTTGTTGAACAGTAAGTCTTTACGATTATCCTCAAATTTTTGGCTCGCTCGGTACTCTAAGTGGAGCACAAAGAGGCCGATTCCTGGATATTTATAGTGCGGTGTATTTTTGTCGCCAATTGGCTACAAATCCAAGTCCACTGTCCCACAGTCACAGTAGTATTTTTTCTCAAACTGATTTTCCATTTTTTGCTGGTTGAAATCGTCCTTCCAGTTTCACTGGAAATTTAGTCCTAATAATTAGTTCCCATAAGACCTGCAACTATTTCAGCTTTTCCCAGCAACAATTTTACAACTGTGGTTGTACGATTTTTTTCAGTACATCCCTGCAGTGATTGTGTAAAAATAAAAAGTCCAATGAGTTCAGATCTGGTGATAACGGAGGCTAATTCACCTATTTTAAATCATCCTTGAGTAGTTTTGGCAACTTGTGAAATTTGCTGAATGGTTGGATGTTTTCTGAACGATAGCGAATAGGGGCACTTGCAAGTTGGCCTCTAAACCGTTAAAGTACTGGAATTTCTCTACATTTTTCGACAGCTTTTGGTGTTGGTTGGTTTCTTCCGTTCGGTGCTTTTGGGACTTCGATATGGGCTTATTCCATATCCAGTTCTACAGTAAAAATTTGGTTTTTTTAAATCAATGGGAAATTCGATTTGATTAAAATTTGGCGCTTCTTGTCCAGCTTGTGGAATTTTGAGTGTTTTTAAGAACTTTGTTTAATTTCTATTCTCCGGTTCAAGACTGGAATCTTTTGAAAATCAAGCGGTTCGATTTGGTAGCAATTTTGCTATATGGTTTGAGGACTGTGTTTCATCTGCAAGTAGCTTCTTGCTCATCTTCCCGAGTTTTAGGTGTCTTTTGAGTATTTTTATTTTTTGGTCAGATTGTTGAGTGTTTTTAGAGCCGCAGGTTCCGTTGCTAATTCTCAGGCTAAAGATTGGAAGCTTTTAAAAATGTTGGGAGTAAATCTCCTTCATTTTTGGTCAGACTGAAGATTAAGCCTCCAGTGGCTGGCTGTAGAAGTAGTTGCTTGTTCAACTTTCAGAGTTTTAGTGCTTTTTTAGAGCCGCAAGTTGAATTGTCTGAAAAATCGATTGGGTTGCAATTTTCTTAGCTGAGAGTTTAAGGATTCAAGCTGGAAAATTGCCGATTTTTGCAAATTTTGCAGTTTTGAGTATCTTTTTGGTTCAAAGCTTTCAGCGTCCGGTGAAATCTGAAAGTCTCGTTGTGTCCAACTTTTCGCGTATTGAGGGAGCAATTGGGGATTTTTGGCTTTCCTCCTTGCGTTAAAACTGCGCAAAGTTCCCGACAAATTAACGATATTCAGACTAAAGCCAAGGGGAGAGTTTAACTTTACTACTCGTTACATACTTTGTTGCAAAGTGGACCCAAATTGGTTCTCCAAACATTCACTTCTACAACAAATTACACTAGAAACTATAATCGCGCTTCCCCATATTACAGTATCATATAGGCTTCACGTTTATTGGCAAATTATTTTTATTAAACACTTCCTTTAGCGGCCTGATTCCCTTACGCGTCCTATACGGCCTATTCTGGCTTTGTTTCGAACTCGAATGTTGAATTTCGCTCTTGAATAAGCCGATGAAATTGAAACAAAAAGCCGAAATTTTGGCGTTCCGAAGTTTGGATAGGTTTGCTGGTACGGACTGTGTGGGAAAAATTGAAAAAATTCAGTAATTGAGTGTTTGAACTTCGGATGGTTGGCAAACATTCAAACAGGTTTTGCACGTGAAAATTGTGGAGAAATGTTCATCATTTGCTTTTGAAATAAACCAAGTGTACTTAATTTTATATTGCAGCTTTCCGTAAGGACTGGCCAAGGACATGTTCTATAGATTGTTAAAATCTAACTTTGAGACGCAGAGGTGGACCTTGCTATAGACGCGACTTAGTTTTGGTAAGTCCAAACGGGCAGATAAGTGAGTCGAAACAAGCTCATAAATATAAATAAATCAGGAAATTTCCCTTGTTCCCTGCGCTGCTATAAATTATTCAAATTCTCGGGCATTTAATGATGGTAATTTATTTTGCTGGGACTGTTAAGATCAAGCCACAGTTTTATAACCCGCTATTAAAGTCGCAATGCAAACAGTGTTTATTGATATTCCTCTTGTTGTTGTCCTTCAAACGTCCACCATTCACCAAACTGAATCTCTGAATGTATGCAAATTTATATCAAACGTTGCCTAATTGAAACGCGCAAACATCCGAATATCAACTACATGAAAGAGTGACGAGAATATTAAAGGAAACACCGGATAATTTGGTTTTTCAACTCATTCATTCTTTGATTGGTTGTTGGGCCCCGAAAACCATTCATCTAGCTGATTTTTGGAAAAAATTAGTTATTTAACGATTTGAACAGTGTCTCAAACAAATCTAGCTCCTAAACTCCTATCAATAAAACATTGAAACTTTGGGCATTTGTACAGAATTTAGCGGTTAATAACTGTAGAAAATGTCAGCTACTTCCAAACGTTCGTGGCTTCTGCGGAATTTTTTAAAAATCCCGCGTTTTGTGAGGTGCAAACTTTTCGCAAAAAAATGATAACTCGCAAACTCTTACCGATATTCTGCTGGATTTTTGGCCAATTGTGCAGATTTTGAATCAATTCCCGGCACTCACCGATTTCCTACAATTTTTTAAAAAGTGTGTGAGTTTTGTGGGCCAAATTCAGAAACTTAAACTTAAAAAACTCAAAATACAATCGCAATGAAGCTGCAAATTTGCCCATGCATAAAGGAGGCACTTATGAGTCATTGTGCTTAGTTTCAATTAATTCTGAGGCGTCATTGATTTTTCACAGCACTTGAAAGTTTCTACTGTTCAGAAATACAATCATGTCAGTTGTGTGGGCCTACCCGAAAAATTTATATATATTTAAAACGCGAATCGATATAATTTTGAAATTTTTGGTATTTATAGAAGATTAGCTAGTTAATAATTGCGCAGACTACTAGTCGATTCTAAGCAAACGCTGATTTTCTGGACATTTTCAAACATTTGCTGTTGATGTGACTTAAGTGGGCAGGCTCGTTTCAAAACATTGAGAACTCCCAAACTTCGATCGCTAAAATTTTGAAATTTCGCGTATTTATCGAGAAGATATCAGCAAAGGATTGTGGCAAATATCACGGAATTAAAAATTGCTGTTGGTTTTTGAGGGATTTTAAAAGCTTCACTGATGATGCGTCTGGAGTGTGCAGGCCTTAATCGAAACATTGATAACTCCCAAACGGGCAGCCATATAATAGTGGAACTTCAGAAGTGAATAGAGGAGAACTCGGTAAATACGTGCACCAAATTTCAAAAAAATCTGAGGGCACCGTGATTTTATAGAGATTTTCAAAATTTCAGTGCTGATGCGCCTCAAGCGCGCGGGACTCTTCAAACAGTGATTACTCCCAAACTCGCACGGATGTAACTTTAAAATTTTGTACATGTACAGAAAATGTAGCAGTCAAGGCTTTGACCCAAGATTAATCAATTCGAGTTTTCCAATGCTTTTCTAGAGCTTTTCGCAGTTCCAACGGTAATGCGGCTGAAAGTAGCAGGTCTGTTTAAAAACATTGATAACTCCCAAACCTGAACGGAAGTGATTCTGAAAATTTCGCAATTGATAGAAGAGACATCAGCAAATAATTGCGCCGAATTTCACTAAATTGTGAAGACGAACCGATTTTCTGGAGACTCAAAAGTTTCAGTGATAATGCTCCTTAAGTGTGCAGGCCTGTCTCATAGCAATAACTCCCAAACTCTAGTAGAGTTAATTTTCAAAATTCGACCATTTATAGAGAAGATCTTAGCGAAGTATTTCGTGCAGTCTCAATGAATTAGGCGATCTCGTTGATTTTTCCGAGATTTGCAATGTTTCAGTGAAACCTCGCCTTGGCTGTACAAGCCTGTTTTAAAGTTGCGATAACTCCCAAACTCTAAGCGATGTGATTGTAAAACTTTTGAACTGTGTAGACTAAGCATTAGCCAATAAATTCCGAAAATTTTTTTCCAAAAATTTCCAGTCTTCCTTGATTTTATAGGAATTTTGAAAATCGCAGTGATAGCGCGCCTCAATCGTGCCGGCCTGACCCAGAATAACTATAACTTCCGAACTCGACCCGATATAACTTTCAAATTTTGGACAAGCATGAGCAAAATACTAGTGAAGGGCTGGACCAAATATCAAAGCATTGGGACTTCCGGCTGGTTTTATAGAAATTTTCAAGATTTCTGTCAAGATCAAGCCTGCAGGCCGGATTAAAAGAATTAACTAAATAAACTAACGTTTTACTGTAAAATACTGACAAACTGAATCTTTTATGCCAAAAAATTAAGAGTTCGATGATACAAGCACTCGTCGACTTTCTTTGGACTCAGTTCGGTTGCTGAAAAAATCTAGAGGACTTTTCTTAGTTGCTTGAACAAAGTAGTAAAACGTTACTAAAAAAAATGTTAATGATCTTTTTTTAGATGTGAAAATTCCAGTCTCGGGTCTCGTAAAGCTTTAATAAATGACTTATAACTCATCAACGGATGAGTTATAACTCGTTAACTGCAAGAGCGAAAGCTCAAAAGCGCAACCCAACTTTAAAAAAAAATCACAACTTTCACACTGTATTCAATATTATTCTGAAATTTCCGACGTTTTTGCACACGCACTTGCCGATGATTCCGCAAAATTTCAGCCAAATCGGAGCTTTAATTGATTTTCTAGAAAAATTCAAACACACCAAGACGCGTTTAAAAACGCGTTTCAAGCATACAAGCCCGGATGCAAGCGAAGCTGCATAAACCCCACAATTTTGCACCCATAAAGACGCAAATTTGCACACTTCTGGGGGAAGCATTCGTCAAAAGGTGTGCCGAGTTTGAATCAATTACGATCGGCCAATGCGCTTTAAAACATTTTTAAATTCTGCTAACTAAAAACGCCAGACACTGCGGCAAGCCAGTGGAAAAAAATTTCAACCCCCAAAACCACGCCGATACAGGGCTGAAATTTCGGATCTTATAGAGAAAAAATCGGCCGACTCTCACAAAAAGCTCAACCAATTCGCAATGATTCCTGATGTTTTCGACTTGCTTCAATTTGCTGCTTGAATTAATCATAAAAATGTGGTCGATTCGGTGATTGTTTGATTTCAGACTGAGCATGGCAGACGATCGCAACAAATTAGTAAGATGCATAAAAAAGAACTTACTTACCATTTTGACGGTGGTGGGAGTGGTTGGAGGCACCGCCGTCGGTCTCATGCTCAGAGCCATCTCCTCCAAGTGGAGCAGCAGGGAAATCATGTACCTGGCATTTCCCGGGGAACTTTTCCTTCGGATGCTCAAGGCGCTCATCATTCCCCTGCTGATGGCTTCAGTGATTTCGGCCATTGGCTCGCTCGATCTGAGCCTGTCGAAAAAAATCGCCATTAGGTAAAACCGCCTACATCACGCCAATTTCTGGATGAATTTTTGCGAGTTGCAGGTCAATCTTGTACTATGCAACCACTACCATCTGCGCGGTTGTTTTGGGGATTATCCTAGTGGTTGCCATCCGGCCTGGCGAAGGGACTGTGCCTTGGAAACCCACCGATGAGGATGAGACCAGCCGAGTGCTCACTCGGCATGTTCTCACTCAGGATACTCTTCTGGACCTTATCAGGTAAGCAGTGATTATGTGATGTGTAAATGTCCCTTACCTTTCCGAGTACTTCCGCCTTGATGACACAGTTTGGCTAGTTAAACCGGGCCGGAAACTGCATGACATGACACTATTAGTACTTATATAAAATTTCCTGCAGCAACTAGCCATGTCCTGCAGCCGCATTTCCATTAGTCGGCATGCGGAACTTTGGAAGACAGACGCTTTAGATGGGTGGATGTTCAAGCTTTTTCATTTAGCAGACTAGAAATTTATCAAAATGCAATAACAGCTCGCAACTGATTTGACTTCGGTACAGCTTTTGACTACGTCTTCCAGAAGCACGCAAATTTGCATCTCCTTCCGCGCGAATCTTTGGGGCTTATGTAGTTTTGCCTGCATCACTTATGGCTCTATAAAAAATCAACTAATTGAACGATTTGGCTGAAATTTTGCTGAATCATCGGCAACTGTTCGTTCTACTAACTTGCTAAATTTTGTCACAGTGGCTCCATTTAGGGAGTTTTGTTTTTCTAAAGCAACTCGGCTAGTTTGAGGCGAATGTTTACAGAAGCTTTGAATTGGCTACAGCAAATACCTAGAGATTCTACATAGTTATTTTCATATATAGTTTAGAAGATAAAATAAAACAAACTTTCTTCGAAAAATCGCCAAAATTTTCCAAATTCAGTCTGTTTAGGGATATGCATCTTGAACTTTGATAATTTCTGAAAAATCAAACACCACGTGAATTTGCTTCAAATGTACACTAGTTGTTCATTGAGGTGTCTTTTATTACTTTGATAAATTGGAAGTTCGGATTGATTTGGTTTGGAAAAAGCAAATTTTGGAAAATGATTTGCGTAGAGAGGAAATCGCAACACAGCTTGAATTTTGATAATTTCTGAAAAATTCGGAATTTCCATATATGTCAAATGTTCAAAACATGTTCCGTGAAGTGTCTTTTAGTGCTCTTAGAAATTTCAACTCCCATTTTGCTTCGGACTGGATAAGAGAATTTTTTGAAACTTATTCTTCTTCTGAGCATTAGGCGGCATACAGCTTGAACTTTGAAATTTTTGAAAAATCAGCCCACACTTCAATTTGCATTAAAATTTTCGCACTTATTCGTTAAAATATCCTTTATAGCTCTGATAAATTGCAAATACAAATTTGTTTTGGTTTGGATAAGAGAATTTTTAAAAAATAACTTTTTTGGGAGCATTTCACGGCAAGACATACAGCTTGAATTTTGATAATTTCTGAAAAATCAGCCTCCACTTAAATCTAATTCAGATATTTAGCACTTATTCACTAGTGTATTTGATAAGTGGCAGAAATTTCAAGTTCGAACTCGCTTTTGTTTGGATTAGAGAAAATTTCAAATGCGTAAAAAGTAGCTGGAACTTTGCTATTTTATTGAAAACTATTGCATCTTACACCTCATGYGCATAATTKTTTTCATTTGTCAATAGTTTTTTACGCTTGAGAGCATCAGAAACCTTGAAACTAAARAGTCACGTCTTATTGACGGCGCTATCAGACCAAAATGTCACACAGCGCTGTCAGGGTGAGCTTCGATCACTACGTCATAGGCCTGGGTAACTYAGTAAATTTTTAGGAGTTGGCGCAGTGCCACGCAAATGGCTTGGTGCGCCAACCCAACAAACCGGCGCAGCAACTCAGTTSCGTTGCTGGGAAAATATTTATGACTTTTTTTACTTGTGKTCAGATTTATTCAAGGGCCATTTATTAATAATATTTTAAAACTTCTTCAAAATTTCAGAATTTTTCAGTTTTAGYCAAGTTGCTCTTTTTTCTAAATGCTGAAGTTTCACTWAAAAATGCTTACAATTTTAAGGTATTTTCCGCGCAAAATTATGAAATAAATTTCGAATCCTTCGTCGATTTGTAAAAAGTTTTGAAATCCCTTTCCAGCTTCGAATTTGGAACAAAAATCAAATAAATTTCTATCAAAAAACGAAGAGAATAAACGAAAGTTTACAACAGATTCCATTCCTCTGAAGACTGTAGAGTTTGTTCAAAAAATGCGGTTTTTCCGTTTTGCCTGAATTTTTGTGCTTAAATTTCTGCTCAAAAACGCTCCATTTTGTAGAGTTTCACTTAAAAATACTGACGATCTGAAAGTCTTTTACGAGAAAAATTGCAAGATAAATTTATATCTTTGTAAAAAGTTTACAAAAACTTTTTTCAGCGTCGCATTCGGGACAAAAACGAAAATAAATTCCTCCTGTTTTTTCACGAAAACCATTAAGGGTTTTTCCAACACCGACCCAACAATTTTTTTTTGTCGAAAACGCAAAAAAGACATTATTTTCTGATGATTTTGCTCTTTTCTGACAATAATGGGCTTTTTACAGCCAAAAATAACAAAATTGATTTTGCTAGAAAGATCGCCTCATTCAACGGTTTACAGAGAACTTTAGAAAACCCATTTGAGCTTCGATATTGGCGCAAAAACCAAATAATGTTATTCAGTTTTTTACCGAAAGTAATTAGGATTATCTTCAAAAAACGACCAGAGAGCAAAAGTTTACAAAAATTATTATTTTTAAAGTTCCTTTAAATTTTAAGATCATTCCCGTTTTAACAAAGTTTCTATTAAGCAATTCTTTCTACGCAAAAATCACATTATTTTGTAGTTTTACTTAACATCCTGGCAATCTTCGGGTATTTTTTGTGAAAAATTATAAGATACCTTTTATTGGAACACTCGCCTCCTTAACCGCTTTTGTAAAAATATTTGGAAAACTTTTTGCACTTTCGAATTTTTGACAAAACCGTAATAATTATTTCTGGGTGTTTTTCCCCGAACTGAAAAAGCGAAAGTTTATAATCGTTTTATTGTAAAACTCTTGGAAACTGACAATACTGCCAAACTGAATCTCTGATGCAAAAAAATTGAGATATCAATTTTACAAGAAAACTCGTCGACTTTCTAAACAGAAATAATTCTTTCAGCAAAGAGAGAAAAGACAATTTTTTTGCACTAATATTTTCGAATATTGGAAATCTATATGTCACTAACATAACGTTTATTTTATTTGCGTGCATTCTGATTAGGATTTTTTTAATTCTAGAAACTTCTTTCCACCAAATTTGGTTCAAGCTTGCGTTGGCCAGGTATGTATTTAAAATATAGACTAATTTATCAACAAGTAGGATATTTCATGATAAATCCGGAAAAYCGGATTAATTCGCCGTTTAATTGTTATTATTAATTACTGCGCTGCACAATTTCCTTAATGTTTAGCATAGCARATAAGAYATTGTGTGGGAAAATAAGCTRCAGTCCATGAATTAAAWGGCAGCGMGAAAAGTTCGTTGTTGATCGCMAAGTTTAAAACCAGAAAAAGKCTTCAGCTTTTAAACTGAAAACTTCTTAAAAATGCAGTATTCACATTTTCTCATCAAATTTGTTTTTTAACCTTCGGTTTCCCAATACGTTTCTGGAAAAGTGTGGGGTTTAAGTTTTAGTAGTTTAAGTTTAAAACACGTGTATCTCAAAAACAGTGAAAAATCGCTGATCAATCGGCAGAATTTYTTSCAGAAAGCATCTCAASAACTTTCGTTCCCAATAAAAGTTTTAAGAAAATGCTCAACGTTTCAGAAGAAAACATCAACTTTTACAGAGCCCTTAAAGCCAAAATGGCCAATGRATAAGTGTCTAAAYAACCATCAAAACGCTTACTTCTTACTAAACTTCTTACTAAACTTCTTACTTAATTAAACAGCGTTTTGWGAATTATCTTCTCTCTGTCATAATCGAAAGAAAATTTCTCATCACCAAMGCGAAAKATTAAAATRACCAAAAAATAAGTGTCTAACCAACAAAACGCTTGAAAATATCTGATGAACCGATAGAACCTTTTTCGGTCTCGGAGGATCGTCTGCCCRTYAGGATCGGAACAAAATTGMTCACCATCATCGCGAAAGATCGAAAWTTYGATTTYGTTTATTGGCCCTGCCGGATTTCTAGAGCTCGTGTCTTCGAAACGATCAAAAATGTTCGAAAATCATGGAAATCTTTTCCAAACGGGGTTGGTTAAGAGCAATTTTAAACGATTGAAGCTGTTGGAAACAACTCAAAAACAGCGTTTCAGACAGTGGGTTTTCTTTAGGTTTTGAAGACTTTTGTTATGAAATGGATACGAATTCCGAATTGTTGCCCAACCTAATTTAACTTTTAGGAAAAAACCAAAAATCCCATTTGAAACAGTCCGGTCCATCATCAGATCCAGGGAAAATTCTGAAATCTCCACGCTGTGTAGAAGTTAATTCTTTGCCATTATCCAAAGATCGCGAAGTCTGCTCTAGTTCTGCCAGATGAAAGCTGGAAAAGCTTCCTTTTTCCGGGATAACTGAAATTTAATTCCACTCGGCAACTTTTTTAATAACTGAAAAGATGAGCAGTAATCAATATGGATTGAGAGCTTTGTTTTTCCCAAGCCTTAGTCCGAGCGCCATTCTAAGCAATCAGACACTCTCTGGACAGCAACTCTGAACACAAAGTTGTCCATTCAAAGGACTGTCCAGAAAGCTCACGTTGAATGGTCGCCCTTTTTCCAACCATCCAACCTGTGAAAGACGATAAGCGCTTTGTCGCAAAATATCCCAAAAAGGCCTTGGAGCCATTGGCTTCCGGACTATTAATGGAAGAAGACCCCGAATTGCTTTCCATTTATCTGAAAAGCAGGAGCGTCCAGACGTGATTAAGCCGTTGGCATGGGAACGTGACTTTGAGCGGATTCATGGAAAATGCTTGAATTCCAATTTTGCTTTGTTGTATTTTGCTTCTTTCCATTTTAGAGTCAGTTTGCAATGAATCAAGGCCTAATCGAAACCAGGAGAACTCTTTTTCAGCTGTTACTTCTCCAACATTGTTACTTAGTTCACATGCTTTGGACGAAGTTCGGAAAGTTTCTAATTGATTAAGTGAAACCATCAGTGAGCATAAAACTAGATTTATCTTGCTGCTTCTCCAATATTCTTGCTTAGCTAGAAGCAATGGAGATTTTACTTGCGTCAAGTGCTTTGGAGAAAGCTGATAATTTTTTATTAATTAACTAAAACCCGCAAAGAAAATGAAACTATTTTGACCTTCCTCTTTCCAAGGTTTTCACTCAACAAAAAACAATGGAAATGTTACTTGATTCACCAGGATTGAGACAAGATTCTACTCAATTAAGGGAAATCATCAGATATTTGAATGCATTCGGATTAGAAATCCTCAATATACCGGGTGATTCGCTATTAGTCACCTTTTCTTTGAACTTTCTGGCCCTTAAACACTCTGCGCCTTAACAGATAAACCTCAATCGCTCTTAATAAATCCCCCTGTAATTAAGAGATGAATGCACTAAAAGGGAAAATTTGAACACTCCCTCAGTCGCAAACATTCCTGCATGAGCCCAGCGTTTACACTCTGTACAAGAAGGGGCATGAGGATGTGATTCGGAGCATCGTAGGAAACTCCTCCTTGGATTCTGAGTCGAAGAGCGCGATCTTCGACTCGCTCTCAGCCTCAGACGAGAAGCGGAGGATCAATGAGTCCCTGTTGAAGGAGTTGATGAAAATCAAGTACAACTCCACTCATTGTAAGTAATTGCGTGCCCTATTGGCTCCTTGATTGGCAAGGGAACCTCCATAGATGGAGGAGTGGAGCTGGAAGACGTCTACCCTGCAGAGCGTTGGAAGTTTGAAGAGCGCTATGAAAGCACCACGAACGTCTTGGGCTTGGTGACGTTTTCCATTGTGTTTGGAATCGCCATGGGTCAGTTGGGAAGTCGCGGGAAGGTTCTTCTGGAGTTTTTCCACGCCCTATCTGAGTGCATGATGATCATCACCAGCTGGGTCATTTGGTAGGTGGAGGACCATCTAAGGGGCTCTGAACTGAGGATTGTCTCTTCCAGGATGTCTCCTCTAGGAGTGTTTTTCTTGGTGGTGGCCAAAGTGATGGAAATTGCCAGTTTCGCAGACCTGGTGGGCCGATTGGGGCTTTACTTCATGACCGTTCTTCTCGGCCTGTTCATCCACGGTTTCATCACCTTGTCCATTATCTACTTTGTTGTCTTGCGCAAGCTTCCGTTTAAGATCATTGGCCAGCTTAGTCAAGTGCTTGTCACAGCTTTTGGAACTGCATCCAGGTGGGTAAATTGACTGGGTTTTGCTTCGTTGATTAAGCGAAATGTTTGCATCCAGCTCCGCCACCATGCCAATCACCATCCAGACGATGGACAAAATGGGTCTGGATCCTCGAGTGACGCGCTTTGTGATCCCGATTGGAGCTACCATTAACATGGATGGTACCGCCCTGTATGAAGCTGTGGCTGCCATTTTCATTGCTCAGCTCAATAACATTTCGCTGGGATTCGGCAAAACTGTCGCCGTTTGGTGAGCGAACCGAACGAAATCGGCTGGAAAAATCAGTGGTTATTCTGGAAAATTCCAGCTTGACTGCAACTGCTGCCAGTATCGGGGCTGCCGGAATACCTCAAGCAGGCCTGGTGACCATGGTGATGGTTCTGGATACGGTGGGACTGCCTGCAGATGCTGTCATCAACATCATAGCTGTTGATTGGCTTTTGTAAGTATTTATTGTGAATCAAAAGTGTTGTTGAGTGATGGCGCGTTCCAAACACAGCCTCCCGCGAGTTTCACTAGGCCGGTCGTCTCAATATGATAGTGTGTAGTCTGTGGGCCGTTCTGGTGTTTATAATAGTGCGTAGTCTGCAGACCGCGCGTTCTTTGGGTGCGTTTTCGTCCCAACTGCTTTCGATAAGCAGTTTTTCTTTCGTGCAAAAGAACATTGAAATTATTAATTAGTATTGTCATCAAGTTCGATATTTTGGGGTCGCCATAACTAATATGAAGTGATCACTTTGCCTGTTTATTCTTGTTTTCGAGCATTTTGGGGGAAGGCGGCCAACCACCTCTGAAGATTTAGCTCAGCCGTGCCGGTGAAACGTCTGGGAGAATTTCACGTGGCATAACTTTGTGTTGGCAGGGATCGCTTCCGGACCACCATCAACGTGATGTGCGACTGTTTGGGGGCTCGCTTGGTGGATTTGTTGAGCGCTGGAGAATTGGCGGGCGCAGTGGAGAACAAAGACCGACTCAATGCGGAGCCGCACGAATTAATTGAAATAGCCAAAGCCGATCAGCACATGTAGAACAGTGAGTTTTAGAGCAATTAATTTTCCTACTGGGAGCTTGTTATCTTCCTAGCAGGATTCAAACTAGTCGATAAATTATATATATTTCCATTTGGAAATATTGAGCTTCATGCCCTACATCTGAGGATGGCCGAGTTCCGAAACGTTCACACGGGCTTGTGGGTCTCTAGGCCCTTGTAAAATGGAATTTCTTGCCGTAAGCGTTCAAGCAAGCCACCTCTGAGGATGCAAGCCACTCGTGCTTGCGAAACGTCAGGAAGAAATTCCATTTTACAACGGCCTAAAAATCCACGGGTTTCAAGGAATGGCCTCACGTTCACACGTACTTTTAGCGTGAGGAGTTTCGATTTTTCAATTTTTTTCTGTTGGCTTTTCATATACAATCCTGCTAGTTGCTAGCCAACATCCACTAAATATGAGTGAATATTGGAGATTTTAATAGTTAAATCCAATTTTTTTTAAAGCCGCCACGTATTTTGTCCAGAGGCCTGGCCAACTAACCCTCTGGAATGGACTAAAAGGATTTGATTAAGCAATTAATACCCTTTTCAGACATTAATTAGACCTATTTAATCTTGTTTATTTGCCTAGAACAGTACGTAAATGTATCCGCTATGTATAAGCAGTAGACTCAGATCGGGGGTTTTTTGAATTTATTTTATAGGTGTTAAACTGTTTTTGAACTAATTGCTTTTGCAACGTTTTTTTTAAAATTTCCACACAAATCCAAGATTCCCCTGGCTGAAGAAATCCATGTTATCTAGAACTAAGTCGATATTTGAG